TCCGCGAGGCGGTCAAGAGGAATCTGCAGCTGGGGCGAGGGCCATGCGCTTCCCTTGGGGCAAGCGATGGAGGAGTATAATTCCCGTAAAATGCGGTTGTTCGCGTCAGATCCTTGCTCACACAGCAGTTGCCGCATGCGGTGAAGCAGCTGGGAGGGTCATACGGTCGCCCAGCTCTTCGGTGTTCAAGAGCTGCTGAAGCCGCGATGTTTCCGACTCCGTCTTCCTGGCGAGGATTTTGCGCTTGAGGTGGTCGAAAGCGTCCATCAGGAGGTGGCAACGCCAGTATGTCGTCCAATTTATCAGCCAGTTCTGGGGGGAGGGCCGACACGACATGATAGTAGCGTGATAACTGGGTGGTGATGTTCCGCAAGTGGAACTGTGCTTCCACTTGGTAAAACTATGCCCGTGGATTTTTCGCCCAGACGACTGGAAGGCGGAGCTGGACGGTGGTAATCAAGCCTGCGTCCACTCTAAAAAAAGGGTGTCATGGGGTACACTCATAGGAGGTGTAAGTGCTTGTCACATATACTACACCCTCTGGTGGGACTAATTGTACACCCCAAATATGGGAGCATGTGTGTGGTGCACCATGTACACATTTTTCTACAAAAATCTCAGTAGAAGGGTACACAGGTGCACCCCATTCAGTGGTGTGCGGCTACACCTCTTTCTACACCAAATGAAATGAAAGGGAACACAGATGCACCCCATTCGAAGTTGCACCTTTGCACCACTTCATAACCCCGCCTCACTCAAAGGGATCACAGATGCACCCCGCTGAATAGTGTACCATTACCTTTCTACATCTACCGCTCTCAAGGGGAACTCAGGAGCACCCCGTTCAATAGTGTACAGTTGCACCTCTTTCTACACCCACCGTGAATTTGAAGAGAACACAGATGCACCGATTCAAAGGTGCATGGTCACACCACTTTATGCACCCGCTTCATAACTAACTTCATAAACCTATTTAAGACAACAAGGAAACCCTCAAAAAAATGCATGCGCCCCGATGATTGCAAAAAGGCAGATAAACGGACACACGGGATTGCTACAGCCTATTCCGTAAACAAGTACAAACTTGCAAACAATCTGTGACATGTGAAGTACAAGTAAGCTGTTACACAACTGAGAAGAATACTAAGCAAACAAGAACCGAGGGTGAGTCTTAGGTAGTGTCTATTCTCCCAGCAGCCGGCAGAATTATTTCCACGAAATTCCACCGGCAGTCGCCATTCATTCATCAAACGACGCTTCATCGACAGCTCAGATTAGCCTTTTTATATTAGCTTCCCTCCTTACCTTTCTTGTAATGAGCCGCCCCAGAATGTATCCGAGAAGTGACGTGTACGGGTGGGACAGGTGGGTTAACATTCTTGTAATGAGCCACGAAGCGGTGAGAACGGGTGGGCTGGGTCGGTGAGCACGCGCCTCAGAGATACACGCGCGACAATATGTCCCTATAGGAAGTATTCACTGGCGGCCATAGCTGTGTGCACGACTGCTGAGCGCGTGCTGATGGTGAGCTTCCACAGTTCTTTTGTAACGTGCATTTCGCACCCTCAAGATTGCTGGTCTTAGCAGCGTATTAATGTGGGCTCGTTCAGAGCATGCGCTCTAGACATCACACACAAATATGGCGCCCAGTGAATACTCCTTATAGTGTGCATTTCGCGTAACGAGTGACGATAAAACGTTAGTGTCGATGAAACGTGTCTACAAAACGTGTATCAACGAAAATGTGTTTTCACAAAACGCCGGGAGAATAAGAAAGTCAGTATTCTACCTGCAATTGTCACGAGATTGTAGACAGCAAATGGCAGGCAACTGCCGATAGAATTTCGGGAAAATTATTCTCCCGCTGCTAGAAAATTGACGCTGCCTAATTCTAGAGGTAATCCGGGACTGAACGGTCAACTGTTACAAAGGAGTAGGTTGCAGCGCACTTACGATGAAAATACCGGACTTGAAATATGTAATCCGAGATATATGTCGAGCGCTTCAGAACCACACAAACACAAAAACAAAAAGAAAGCGGTCCGTGAGGATTCAACACGATGTGGCAGAAGCAGTAATTCGCCGAACCGAACACTAAACGCATCATATAAATTCCTAGGTTTTCTTTTTTTTTTTTTTAAGAAGAAATCGCTTGTTGCCGATATTCGTGTTCGACTTTTCAAACACTGGAAATCTTGGTGCACTCGAATACGTTGTCGCGGACGAAATCTACGGCAGCCCCGCTGGTCGCAGCACAGCACACAAGAAACTACCTATGCCGGGAAGCAGACATTCCGAGGTCGAAAAAAAGCTACTACGTCATCCGTGAAACCTTTACCACATGATCACGCCCCTGCCGTTACCCGCGCCCAGACAGCGGAGTCGAGGGATTAAAAAGCCTCCGGTTCATTGGTCTGGCGACTGCGCACCTTCTTCCACGCTTTCCAGCTTAGGAAAAAAAGAAAAAGAGTGGAGTAGGAAAACAGCAACTCCTTCAAGGCCAAAAGGGGGCGCCCTTGCAAAGTCTTTTCTAGAGTTCCTGTATAGCTACCTACGGTAGCAGAGTTGCGCATTCAGCCTCGGCGCGTGGCCGTAGCGCCGGCTTTCCCGCACGAGCTGGATGCTTTGCTCCTCACGTGACTAAATTTGGCGAATAGCGGCGCCGCGCGCGCCGCCGCGGATGGAAAGCAGGAGAGGAGGAAAAGGAGGCGGAAAGCAGGGAAACATGCGCCGGGGCAAGAGAAACGTCGGCGGAGCGACCGTAAAGGTGGCTTTCTTGCACGCCAACGGATGCTTTGCTCCTCACGTGATGGATCTCGGCGAATAGCGGCGTGGCGGCGCGGGGAAAACAAATGCGCAACTCTGGCTCCCGTAGGGAGCCTATACAGGAACTCTAGTCTTTTCTTCAGGGGCAACCCAACAATGAACACAACGAGAGAATTTGTCGCTTATATCCTCTTGAAAGTTACACCCAAAGTTAATAGTGCAGTGGATGCTATCCGTGGCCTTGGCCTTCAGGCAGTTGTCGTGGTCTGCCTTGTCTCTAGCTTGGAGACTGCAGTCACGGGATCCTACCCGGAGACCCGATTGGCCTAAAACAAGCATAGCGTCCACTCTACTGTCAATACCGAGTGAACAGGATAGCTCCATGCTTCCTAAGAAACTGCCCAACCCAAAAAGTGACCCCAAGTGGGAATCCAAGCACAAGCTGATCGGGGCGCGTGGCTAGCGTGGCAGTGCACTTATACACCTAGAGGCTTTTCAAGGGAGAGGATGATGCTTATTGTCGATGTACAAGTACACTGGCTGGGTAACGGAGGGTGCATCTTTAAAAAAAAAGAGTGCATGTGCGCCTGATGCACCCGATTACACCCTTGCGGCGTCGGAGGAGTTGCCTGCGCTCTGGTTCACTGTTGTCGGACGTCAAGGCCACCAATTTGTCGGTAATGTGTTCAAAAGCACCGGAGAAGAAAAGGGACGTCCGGCTCAAAGGTTAGACAAAAGGCATATATTCTCTTATTTCTCGCGGCTCGCAAAGCCACGCGGCAGCGTGAGCTAGCGCGCTCACCGGCACCGTGCTGGGCACAGTGGAGCCTCGGTAGTTTTTAGTTTGGAACTACAATCACTGGGGGTGTTTTTTATAACCCGTGTGTTTGTGGCACCTGTAGGTTCTGCCACATTTTGCATTTTCCCTGCAAGCGCGTGCTGTTGGCATCAAGTACTACAAGAAAGGTCATCACCCTAAAGAGAAGGACGTTGAGGCACCCTAGGGGATGCCATCTTTTGTATTATTGGGCAGGGGATCGAACTATAGGGGGCGCTTTATCGAGCTCGTTGGGTACTTCAACGAAATTTGAGATATTCCCGTCGTGTTCAAAAATAGGTTGAATATGATCCACAATATCCGTAAATGACAATCGCACGTTTGTATTCTGAGCCTGCAGGCTGTATTTTTCGTTGTACATGACCCACTCTGGCTAGCGCTCGGAGAAGGCCCAGCGGAGACCACGTGACAGTCAACGCAATCGTGACGTAGGTCGTCTCGGGACGAGCAAAGCTACGGCGAGGCTGACGTCGAGAGGATGGCCTAGTCGTTCCAGCCACCGAAGCGGCTGCTTTTGTACGAATTTTGAGTGACGGGTTAATCTTCTATAATCTTGTAGGGGGACAATAGCGACTTCTGCGACACACAAAAGGCATTCTCGGGAAGAGGGGAGTTTCTCCTTCCCCTTTTCTCTCGTCGTGGCCGGAGGCGAGACACTCACCGTCACTAGCTGTCAAGGTTCCTAGACGGGCATTACAAGCGAGGCGTTAGCGACATCCACCAGGTGCTCTTTGCTAATCGTTTAATTCGTTTTAAAATTCCTTTTCGTGACTTTTTTAACAAGATATTGGTATGTTCGATGTGGTGCTGCTCCTTTGAACACATATAGACAAAAAAATGAGCGCCGATATTTCGCCCCTTCATGTTTGAAAAGTAGCTCCAGGTGCGTCGATGCACGAGGCACGTACAGCTCTTGGGAAGATCATGGCGGCACAGCGCAGCACGGAGCTAGATTTCCGACACCATTTTCTCACCAGAAGTGGCGCGCGGCACGTGTCTCGAGCATTTCCGCAACAATAAATGGCGCCACTTTTCCCAGGATAGAGGGGCTTTAGTTGTCCCCACAGCCCAGCGTTTACTAGCACGGCATAACAAAGAAATTAAACCTCTCCAAGCACGGTCCGGGCACTAGCGCCTCGCTTTGACCAGTGCTTTGGAGGAGAACAACTTTATTAAAATCCAAAAACTACGGCCTTGTGAAAAGGAGCTCTTGCTCCGCCAGGGCCCATTGGAGGTCCGCCGAGTCCGAGCTGAGCCAAGCATTCCAGGAGGGAGGGGATGGGTACGGGAAGTAGGGAGAGTTGAGCGCAGTGTTACAGGCGTGGAGTATGTGCTCTGTGTCAGCCCTGACCTCGGGGCAGTTGGGACAGTGAGCTGTCTTCTGCCACCTGAGGTTTTAGAGCATTAGCGGGGTGAGGAGAGTGTTGGTTTGTACCTCGCGGAGAATGTGTGCTTGTTCGGTGCTAAGTGAGGGGCGTGGTTTGGGAAGGGTGGTACGGTTTTCCCTAATGTTTTTGTAGTGTTCAGTTATTTGCTTTTTGTAAGTTGCGGCGTCGTCCGCTGACGTTGGGTTTGGCCAGGGGATCGAGGGAGCCCGGAAGTTGATCTCGCGGGCGAGTTGATGTGCCAGCTCATTTCCCTCAATACCCGCGTGGCCAGGTATCCAGCGCAGGGTGACTCTGATGTTGTTGTTGCGGGTGTAGGCGTCCATTAGGATATCATGTAAATGTGGCTCCAATAACCTGTGTTGCATGTTGCGAAGTGCTTGGGCTGAGTCGGTGTAGAGATTAATGTTGGCGTTATTGTGTTCAGTGAGCAGAGAAGCTTCGTGTATGGCATATATAATCGCGTATGTTTCCAGCGTGGTGATGTTTGGGGGGTTGTCAAAGGGTCCTTCCATGTGTGTGATAGGTGTTGTCTGTCTTGGTGTATAGATTGCGCAGGCGAATGATCCAGTGTGGGAACGTGTTGCGTCCGTGTATATTGTTATACATGTTTCGTCTCTGCGGTGTTTAGCAGCTTGTGCTTGACGTCGCCCTTCATGGAGGTGTCGCGTCATATTTTTGGGTATGTTGGGAAAGGCGACGCACAAGGAGCGGCCTACGAATCGTGATCTTCGATTTCTCTGATCAACAACAAACAAGAAAATTCGGTTTGTTGTCCCCACAGCTGAAGTGTACCGCTAAAGGCGTGACCTGTTCGATCTCCTCCCCAATAGACGATGGCAAGCAAAGCGACTAGCCGCCGTCATGTCTGTGCTGGCACGGGCAAGCCCGTGCATTTGCAGCTTGCCAAGGCTGTGTTCTCGCGCAAGTTGCTCGTGCTTGCACGCATGGGGCACCAAGTCAAGGTGCCATGCTTGTAGTTGTCAATACCCGATGCCGAGAGCACGCGCTCAAATGGGAAATACAAATAAATCGTCGAAAACAAAATGTCATCACAGCACAGTCAGCGCCAAAAGCGCGTGTATGAACACGCTCTTTCATGCGCTTCAAAAGAGCAAATAAAAATAAGCGTTTCGAACAAAATGGCCTGATGCCATCACCCCAGGTAAAGCGCACATGAAAGCACCCTCCTGCGTCACTGTGATGTTTTGGGCTAGTAAGCTAGTGGCGCTTCGCGCGAAGCAGATCACGGTGCTCGCTCTTGATCTGTACGTAACAGCGGCGTACGGTTCTTTTATCGGTGAAACAAACGTCGATTTCTCTTTCTGACAACGGCGCCACGGTGCGATGTTGGAGTTTCGCGGCACAGTGAGGTGGCGAGCTGGATCGGTCCGTCCTCGCTGGCGTCTGCTCGTCGTCTCCCTCGTGTGGATGCGCTTGGGAGACGGACGAACCGCGGACATGTTTTCACGTGAGCGATCCGCCCGCGGATCAGTTCGTCGTGTGAATTGGTCATTAAGGGTATTCACACAAGGGGGAAATCCCTACCTTTACTCCCCGGGTTGCACAGCACATGAGCAACATCACGCTTTTGCGCGGAGCCGCGCTGACGTAAACATTCCAGGGAGATGGGGGAGCTTTTTGATCAGGCTGCACCTTTGGGCTGCTCAAACGCTCCTCGCCTTGGCGTGGGATCTCTTGCAATCGGCGGTATTTTGTTCGCGTGTCTGGCAACTTCACAGATTTTGATCAGCGAGATACCGGCAGTGGCATCGGGATCGGCTCTTGTGCTGTTGCGCTGTTGCGCGTAGTCGTCCGAAGCACCCGAAGGAGTCTTCGATCTTCACCAATGCCGTCCTCAAGCCGCTCCTCATATAATTGGTTTTGGATTTCACGTCCCGTGCGTTGTATGCACCCATTCAAGAAGCATATTTGTTTTTAGCAGGAAGCAGTTCGTTATCTTCTGCACCAAACAGCGCATGCTGCCATAATCGCGTATCACCGTCTCATGTACGCCTCCATTTTCTCGTCAGCCGACACCGAGCCCTGCTGTCGAGAGCGTGATCGCTAAATGCGTCTGATAACGCTGACATCCCTCTCGTCTCCACGCCGTCCACGCCGTTGGTGTGAATGCTTCAGTCGGGGAGGGAGTCCCGTTGCCAGCTGGCTCCGCCAACCGCTGACGTCACGCGCATCCCTCCCCGAAAAGCATCCCCCGTGTGAATGCCACTTTACGTAAATCGCAAAGATCGGGGCTCAGTTTTTTTCACAGGAAAGTATATTGTGTGTGTTAGGAAAGAAAATATATTTACGTAATTCTGTGCAACTATACGTAAATGATAAATTCTCCGTGGATCGCAATTGTGAATGGTAGCTGTGTAATGAACGTGCGGCTATTAGTTCCGTGAGCTGCGCAGGGGTGTCTACAATGATAGAAAGTAGAAGACGAAAGGAATCAAATTAACATAAGAAGTTAAAAAAAAATACTCATGTCTTACTGAACCATAAGTGAATCTGCGCATCTCTGTTACAGACGCGAGAAGAAGCGCATCGCTTTGTTCCTGACCCCGAAACCTCCGACCCCTCCTCTCAAAAAACGAAGTCGAAGGCAAGATCTCTTCTTTCTTTGCGTTCTGTTATTTGCTCTTAGAACTGCCCATTTCAATGACAAACGTGATAAACTTTTGGTGATGAGACATTGAAATTTTTGGGACTTAAGTACTGAAACGAGAAAAAAAAACAAAAAAAAAACATTAGTCATCCCAGGTTAAAATCATTCCAGCTGAACGCCGAATCTGGACATCCGTAATGTCGCGAGAGGGCATACAAAAACATTTAGGTAAAATTGCGGCATGACAGCAACCTATGTCTTTATATAATATCATAATTATAAGCCTTTAGTTGTAAACCTTTAGCATACGATAACTCAGTTCAATATTTAGGCGCCTTTGTTGACAAACACATAATGTGGAATGCGCAGGTGGAATCTGTTGTAAAACCATTTTTAATTTTGACGAGAAAAAAAGTATTTTGCTGGCTCCGCGCCCAGAAGAATAAAACCAATCCTTACTTGTAATATATATATATATATATATATATATATATATATATATATATATTCTTTGCCAAAAAAAATTGGTACGCACCCTCCCAGTTGTTTTGCGTATCGCGCGATGTTGGATTTCGGGCGGCCTGTCCCCACAAAAAAACTGTTCTGGCTGTGGGTCTAGAAATACTTCCTGACAAACTAGGCATAGGAAAGATTGACAGAAAATGTTAATCACCGAGTATTAGGGTGGTTATTTTGAGAAACAAAATCGCAAATGCGGCACATTGCGCCATAACGCTCTGGATTAAAGATTTGTTTTCTTCGTACCTATAAAAGATAAAGCCTTCAAACTTTTCCAGTGTGTTACCCTGTATTTAGTTAACCTTTTCATAAAATATTGTTTTCCTGGTTAGCGGGAAAAATTTACCATTAAAGCTCAAACAGGGGCATTTGACTAAATATGCATTACCTTGAAATTTATTTTTTAAAAAAAGGCCATCTTTAATATTCTTTAAACTCTCCAGAATTAACGTTTATACTATGAACTAACAGAATCTCCAGAAAAATAGTGTAATATTTGTGTGGCTTTGATGTTATAAAGCGAGAGATGGTGGCCGAATTGACGCTAACGCTGTTGCCATAAATGGGGCGTGCACATACCCGTTCTTCATAATTTAATAAATATTAAATTTCATACAAAGATGAACTATATACAGGGCAACACACTGACAAAGGTTGAAGACCTAAGCCTTTATAGATACGGAGAAAACGAATCTTTAATTCAGAGCATTATTGCGCAATGTGCCGTATTTGCGATTTTGTTCCTCAAAATAACGATCCTAATACTTAGTGATTAATACTTTTTGTCAATCCTTCCTATGCCTAATTTGTCAGTGAATATGTCTAGACCCGTAGCCAGAACAGTTTTTTGGGGGAAGCCGCCCGAGATGCCAACATCGCGCGATACGCAAAATGCGCGCATGGGTAAAAATGCTTATAATTTTTTTTTTTTGCAAATACATTTTTTTAAAGCAAGGATTGGTTTTATTTTTTTGAGAACGAAGCCAGCAAAATATTTTTTTCGTCAAAATTAAAAACAACGCCTTGCATGAAAAGGGTCGTCATCACAACGCCTCGCAAGATAGCAGTGTTTGACTAGGGACAGAGAAGCCAGCTGAGCTTGTTCTGTTACCACGAAGTGTTAAAAAGGGGAAAGAGGTTTGTCTCAATTAAAATAGCGGAATATGGCCTTCATAGAAGAAAAAAAAGAAAGAAAACGTCGAGACGCTTGCAGCGAAGCACCGCTAAACAGCCCCGCTTTTCTTTCTTAGGTTGAAAGCTAACAGAAATAAATTGAACCGTCGACATTGTCGAATGAAATGCCTCTGTGTAAACATCCCGTCAAAAAAGCTTTTAACACGTTCCGTTTGTGTGGATTCGATCCTTCCAGGGTCGTGTCTCAGGCTCCTGTATCCAGCGCGCAACCAAACGACGCCGAGTAAGCGACCAGTTTCTCGTTACTGTCTCCTGCACCCGGTCCGAGTTGAGTGCTCACGTTAACGTATACTGTGAACGACGTTGAGGGCTCGGTGTCAGGGTGTCAATATATGACGTCAAGTAATGTCACGTAACGTGACCCCGCTACATCACGTGACGTGGTCATGTGACTCACTGCGTCAAGTGGATTCAAATCGGGATGTCACTAGATTCATTAACGTGTTAACACAGTGACGCCACATGACATCACGACTTCGCACCAGTGATTTCCCTACACACCCCCTACCCCCCTAGCGGTGTGTACACACCCCCTTGTTTTTTTCGCAACAACTCCTCTACTCTCAATGCCCTTCCCCCTAACTCTCCCTTCCCCTAAAGGTTTAGACACCCCCCCTAATTTTAATTCCTGGGGAAATCCCTGCTTTGTACCACGAGTCACGTGACGGCCTGACGTTCTCGATTGTCATGAGCCCGATTCGAGTCCTGGAACTCATGACGATCAGCCTTTACAAACATTCGGGTAATGGCTCGTGTTCAATTAGATATCAGAATAGCCGAACTCTAATGACTAAAGCTCAGCTCATGCTCTAGGCTTTGCCATCCCCAGCGCATGATAGTGGTGAACACTGATGATATACTGTAACTGATGTCAGATTAAGTGGCCGCTTGTTTTGGTTCCGAGTTGGGGAGGAAAAAGCTGTCTCTTTCCTTTATTTCTTTTTTTTTTTTTTTCTGCGTCTGCCTTTGCGCGGAGAGGAAAACTGGTAGATTTCTTGCAGGTTATCGTCAGGGATTAGTCCTGTACGTTACTTAATGAAAGTGCAAGAATTGTTGCACGACCCATTTTACATCTACAGATCACTCTGTACATGATCTGTACATGTAAAATAGGTCGTAAGCTACGGGTGTGTACGGTAGGCAAACCTGAGAAGATCCTGGTAACCTCAGATGGACGGCTAAACGTTGGCA